TAATAATAATAATAATAATAATAATAATAATAATAATAATAATAATAATAATGACCAGGAACCAGGAGGAAAGCCATCAGGCTTTCAGTGGTTTTTGTTATAAGGCGTCTCTGGGTGGACTCAAACTCCAAACTTCTCAGTTAGCAGCCAAGAGCATTAACTTTGTGCATTATTCAGAAGTTCAGCAGCCCTCCAGACAGCTAAGATAGCTGCTAACAAGTCCACGAGCATGAACCCAAAGGCAGCAGCTATTAGTCCCCCCGGGACCCTCTGTGTTCACTAGAAACAGTCTCCCCATGGCCGATGGAAGAAAGCTGAGCACTCTGGGGCAAGGTGGAGAGACTCACTAAAAGATGGAAAACAGGTGTAAGAACTGAGAGCTGATGACCCCCCTCCCTAGGCAAGGAGGAGAAAAACTAAGAATTTTTTTTTTTTACAGTTATTGATTTCAGTTTTGCTAGGTAATACCTCACATAATTAAAAATTTTAAAGTTTTAAAATAATAAAAACCCAAATCTTCATTCCTTCTCCCACTCAAAAATTCACACCCACTCAAAAAAAAAATATATTACTAGTTCGGTGCATATATAAGATTATTATATATGTAAACTAGTCCATTTGTTAAGTTTTTCATCATCCATAACAGAAACTTAGTGTCTCTTAAACAGTATCTCCTAAGTTCCCTGTGCCACCCACACCTGGTGGTGGTGATGGTGATGGTGAAGTGCTGTTGAGTCAGTTCTAACTATTAGCAACCCTGTGTAGGGTTTTTGAAGCTGCTGTACATCTGTGCATGAGCAGAAAGCCTCATCCTCCTGGTGGGCTCCAACTACCAACCTTGTGGTTGACATTTCCATGCTTGTCGCAGAGCATTGTGTCTCTGGATATTTGGATATTTCGTATAAATAGGATCATGCAGTATTTGTCCTTTTGTGTGTCTCACTGACTTTGGTCAGGTCATGTTTTCGAGGTTCATCCATGTTGTAGCATGTATCAAGGCTGAATTTCTCTTTACAGCTGAGCAGTATTGTCCTCGTTCTTTTTGTGTGTGTGTATGCAGAAACATAGTACAAATTTCCCCGCTATCTGAAAGTAGAGCATTCCTATGAAACCTTCCATAAGCCAAAATGATGTAAAATCAGGAAGCGGTTGCTGTCAGTTTATACAGGCATACCTTGGGGAGACTGCCAGTTCAGTTTCAGACCACTTACTGTGTAGTGAGTCACATTTTTTTTTTTTCCCATTTCCCAGTGCATATCTTAGTTATGTTTACACTGTATTGTAATCTATTGAGTATGCAATAATATCATGAAAATATTGATGTCTTAAGTGAGAATGACCAAAATACGGCACAGAGACGCAAAGCGAGCCCATGCTTTGGAGAAACAGCTCAACAAAGTGTTGCCATAAATGTTCAGTTTATAAAAAGCGTAATAAAACAGGGTATGCCTGTATGGGGAAAACTGTTGAGTGATCCCAGACCCAAATTATAACCTACCAAGGCTTACCAACAACCATGTAAAACCTACAGTAACACTAATGTAGCGTCCACAGATGGGATTCAAAGCTACGGCAGCTTGGTGTTGAATGCAGTTCCCGGGGAAGGAGCTTGGCAAGGCCACTGTCATTGCTCACGGTGCACATTGCCTCTTTAACAGCTCGGTGCAAACCACACACTGAGCACTAGTTTAACTTTGTGCCTTTTTTTTAATGAAAGTGGAAATCCTTTAGAATTGTTTCAGTTAATGAAAACGGGTACCGACGTTGGTCTTTTGTAAAAGTGATGAGGTATAAAGCAAGCTTTTGAAAAGCACATGATACTTGTATCCATTGTATTGTTGTTGTTGTTGTTGTTAAGTGCCGTCGAGTCGGTTCCGACCCATAGTGACCCTGTACAGGGTTTCCGAGGGTTTAAATCCTTACAGGAGTAGAAAGCCTCATCTTTCTCCCGCGGAGCGACTGGTAGTTTCGAACTGCTGACCTTAAGGTTCGCAGCCCGATTTGTAACCACTACGCTACCAGAGCTCCTTGTATAGATATATCATAATTTGACTTCTCCCCTGTGGCTCTTATTTTGTTGTTATTCACAGTCTTTTATTTCAAGCCGTGCCATGATGAATAACTTTGTTCATGTGTCATCTTGTAATCATGTATCTGCAAGATACATTCATGCATCCAAGGGCACATGCATTTGTAATTCTGGTGGATGGTGCCAAGTTGAGATACCAAAAAGAATTTGTCTACACAAAGTGTGAGGGTGCCTAGCCCCACAGCTCATCTGGCTTGGTATGTTGTCCAGTCAGGGATGTTTGCTCACCTGATGGGTGACAAACACGCTACCCGAATGTAGTTTGAATGTATGTATTCTTCTCTTAGGAGTGAGTTTGAGCAATAGTTAAGCATTTCCTTTCCTGTGAACTGTGTGTGCCTTTTGCCCCTTTTTCCCACTTGGTTGATGAGCTTTTTCTAATCAATTTGCAGAGGAAGGTTGTCTCTTCTCAGCAATGCAGGTTTTCAGTATTGCTTCCTAATTTCTCATTTGCCTTTCAACTATGTTTGTGATGCTTTTTTGACTTATGGTGTTTTTTTGTGTTTTTTTTTTCATTGTGCTAAGATTGTTGTTGTTGTTGTTAAGTGCCATAGAGTCGGGTCCGACCCATAGCGACCCTGTACAGGGTTTCCGAGGGTGTAAATCTTTACGGGAGTAGAAAGCCTCATCTTTCTCCCGCGGAGCGGCTGGTAGTTTCGCACGCCAAAACATTTGCCAGGGCAACACCTTCCACACTTTTTTCTTTGACTCCAGTACAGATTTCTTCATAGTTTCTTTTGTGGTTTATGGATTTTAAGTTATAATTTAAAAGTCTTTCTCCACTCTGAGGTAACACTTATTATTATTTTTTTTTTCTGTAGTACTTCTGTGGTTTGAAATGTTAATATTTCAATTCTTTAGTGATTTGGAATTTAACCTGTTTGTTAGTGTGATGTCTGAATCAACTTTTGTTTGTTT